GGTCGGTTCGGTTTGATCACCGGAAAACCCATTCTGGTGGATAATGAAGCACCTGAAACTTGGGTTAAAAATCACTGGAGTACTAACACTGACGACACTTAACCGGGAATCGAGGCCCAAGTACGTAACCAAGGCTGGTAGTGAACAAAAGAGACAGGCATAACCGTCTCAACCACGGGCTCCTACTTCCGCGATGAGTAAAACTGCTGCGGTCTAGCTCCACGCTATACCTTCCTTCTGGTCTATATGTGATCGATTGACTGACCAATCTAAACAGCAAAACTCAAGCTGTAGATTGGCACACTCAATCGAAAATCCACATGCGAATCACTCTCGTTAATTCACGAAGTTGTAGGTGACCACGCACAGTCACTCTTTTCTATTTGTTTTGTGCGGCGGAACAGCATTTGTTTCATTGTCGGTTCGTCATTGCTAGGTGTATTTTGCCTATCTTATCACACTAGCGAGCAATTTTTGAGACTCTCGCAGCTGCACCTTCTCCAAACAGATGAGGAATCATTCCTGTCGAAAAGCGATAGCACTCAAATCCGTCATATTTTAAACAGTTCGGAATTACCAAATCTTAAACACTTGCACCTTCGAATTTACGTTGTTTTATCACCTACTTCCGGTTCGATAAATAATATAAAAGTGCATCAGTTACGCCATTCCCCATTCGTTTCTGACAAATCCCGAAGTCAATATCGCCCAAAAGGCAGATGGAACTATGTAACGATCGGTCTATCGTAAAACAAATTGGACAGATCAGTACATGCACTTTGGAAGTTTTGTACCAATTGCATATAAACGTGGTCTTGTTCATACCCTATCGATAGAGCCCGTCGAATTTGCACTGATGACACGATATCAAACGAGCTCAGTTTTTCATGTCACACGTTAACAAGAAATGGTTATCCGGAGTTTGTTGACAAGTACAGTAGATCGAAGATTGAAAAGCCCGTTGTTGCATCAGCGTCTAGATTGGAAATCACGATTTGTCTTACTTCAAAGGTGATGACGTAACTAATGTAATCCAACAACGGTGACGATCGGTTGTCAACCGGACTTATTACGCAGCCAAACCCAGAATTGTGCACAGAACAAGAAGTATACCCGTCCCCCGGCTAAAGAACGACCATCTCTGTACACCAACTCAAACGTAATCTATCAATTCCAATGTGGGTGCGGAGACACTTACATAGGCAGAACAGAAAGGCAATTACGTAATCGGGTTTTAGAACACATTCCGNAATGGGTTCAACGCACGGTTGCCATGACAAAGTCCACAGAGCCGGTAACTGGCCCGTGCTTACAAACTCATCGATGGTCAAGCACTTGTTTATGACGCAACACCTCGTGGATCGCGAGAAAGCATTTCAAGTGATTTTTACTAACGATAACACCAGAATGCTCAAGATAGCCGAGGCGATTGCAATCAACCGATTGCAACCAATTCCGTGTCAACAAAAAGATTTGTTCATCACCTTGGTTTTGCTTTGGTGACGCCTTCTCCCATTTACAAGTGTTTATTTTGTAATTCATTCCCAAACCATATATAAACATTTGTTTGCGGTAGGCACCAGTTGAGATACAGTGAAATCGTCCAGGACATGAATCGTGCAATGTTGCTCTATACGGGCTTCTCTTTTCAAATTTATCACAGGAAAGGCTTATTTCAGTTTCAAATCCTGACGTGTCAGAAAGAAAAAATGTACACGGTCAATTCGTTGGTTTACGAAAATATTATTATAATAAGCTCAACGGAGGGGTGTTTTAGAAAAGCGAATCCTCTCGGGGATAAATAACCCCCCAAATGACGACTACTGTGTATATACTGCATGGCTCCAATGTGAGCAGGTGAGCATCAAATTGTCAATTTCCACCAGTTAAACGTGAGACCACAGAAGGGCAAAGATGAAATCAAACTAGCAGGGAAACGCGTATGTGGAAATGGGAATAGAAAATTTGGATAATGTATGTACATGGTATCAAAATAGCGAGAAAGTAAAACAAAATAAAACTAATAGAAACAAGAGCGTCTTTGCACCTCCTGTCGTAATGCTTCGTTCTCTCGATGCAGTTCGGTCAGTGCTTCGGCGAACTCATTTCGCATTCGTTGTACCGCGTGTTCCAGTCGCGAAATATAAAACAACATTTGGTATTGATTCATGCTTAATTCCGATAGCAAATTCGATTCCAAACTGGCTAGACGACTTTCCAACTGTTTTTCCACCTTGGGTAGCGGAGTCCGGGTAAACTTTGACGATCCGGGGACTGGCAGCGGAGGTTCAATGGTCTGGATAGGTGGAGTGCACGGTGGTGGACACTCAGCGCCCAACTCCGTGGAATTCCGCTCGCTATCGGTCAAGTTTAATGATTGATGAGTCAAACCAGGTGCTTGAAATGTATTTTGTTTCGAGGAACGACTAGTCTCAAGGGAATCAGAAGACCATTCTGGAAGGGACAAATCCTGGAACAGAATGTTCCACTGACAATCCTGGGGTGACTTCAAAGGCGAGTTCGAGCGATTGGTGATTTCACCCAGTGTGTCACGTTTGTGAGCCGGATCTGGTGTCGGGCGCGAGGACGCTTGAACATTTTCGTCTGAGACCCGGTCGAGTGCAAACGGATGCAAACTACGATCAATACTCACACTATCCTTGAATCGGACTTCATCATGTGATTGAAGGCTCAGTGCGAAAACCAAATGACGGACGGAAAATGAGAGACCAGTCAATCGAATCAGCGGCCCGGACAAGGCACGAATATCATAGAGCCACACCTCACCATTGATGAGCCCAGTGGCCAGAGTGAATGAGTCCGANCCGATCCGAGATCTGCTACAATGAACCCGGTGTTGTGATCTTCTGGCCTCAACATGTGAATCGGTGTTGTTTCACAATCAAAACTTTCACGTGACTCAGATGACTTATTCCAATGCCAAATTCGAACGCACAAATCCGGAGCGCCTGCGGTTATTAACAATTGTGTCGTCAATGCAGGAAAAGTTACACTGACCGATTCGTTGAAATGTAAATCGGACTGAGAAGATTCGGGAGCGAGACACCTGTACACATGTAATGCAGCGTTCTCTGACAAAGGCCAAGTTAACTGCCACACAACAATCATCCCGTCCGAATACCCTGCAGCAACAAGGCTACTGTCCATTCTTGAAGTTTTTAGCGTACAACAAGAGACAGTTTGGGAAGCTGAACCAGGACGGGGGAGAAGACAAGGTGCTTGAGAATCGACCTTGCGGCCGGTAACAGCTGGAGTCGCACACAAATCTCCACAATCGGTTCCCAATACTAACAATCGATCTTGCAATGCCCATGTGATACATGTGGGAGTAACTGTGCTTCGTTTCGGTGAATCCGTGCCCGTATGTGTAGCACACAAACTGAACTGCGAACGCGGGATAAACTGTTTATTGTACACATAAATCATAACTTGTCCACTGGCACGTCCCACGGCAAAGTAATAACCAACCCTTTGAGGGAAGGCAAAACAAGTTACCGGATCAGTAGTGGGACATTTTTGTTCTTGATCAGCTACGGAGTGGGTTATTTCGTGTACCTCTTCGGTGAATCGGTCAGCCTCATCCTGTGCGATGCGTTGAATGTGGACATGTTTTCCCGAATGACTGAGTGAGACTAACCTGCATGTGCGAGGATTCCAGGCCATCTGACGTATGCGATCCGGTTCACCAGATCGGGGATCATATGAAAACATAATCGGATTTTTCTTATCAGTGGCACTGACCGGATCGGGATTCACAGTCCATATACATGCCGACTGACCATCGCTGGCTCCCAAATACATTGCTTCTGCTGGTTTCATGGCTGAAAATAGACGATATTGGATGATTGGAAAGTAGGAAAGAAGTTCAAAGAATATATAACCAGTAAACATGAGTCAAAACATTAAAATTCCATTTCGTGATCAACAGTATGACACCATAAATGCGTTATTTTACTGGGCAATGTGTGTAAACATGCGTGTAAAAATAAGCGACAAACAAGCGAAAGAAATACGTAGAGATGAAGAAAGAAAATCTAAACAGAGAAACAAGGTGGAC